ATCCTCAATTCTTTGATATAGTGGCTAAGGATTTCTTAGAGAGACATTAGATTCCGAGTTTGAACTAAGACTTCTTCCCCTTGGCCCATGGGCTATGCCCATCTTATGTACAAGGAAAAAGAAATAAATTTATGTAATAAATAAAAAAGAGTTAAATTTTATATTAAATTTCTTTATCTTTATAATTTTTATTTTACATTAACATTAAAAATAATAAAACTTTATATTAATTTGCACATGAAAAAAACTTTAAATGTTAATATAAATATCCATTAATATTTATTAATTTTATTTATCTGTAAAATATACAGTTATTATATTATTTAAAAATAGATATATCATTAAGCATGTGACAACAATTACCAATAATACTAAATACATAATAAGTTTTTAATACTAATTAAAGAAAATATAAAATTACTTTTTTTCTACATAAAGATGACACTTTACAATAGTTTTTCTTTTCTTTTCTTTTTTTTGCAGTTTTCATAATTGGAAAGCATTGCAATCAAGTTGCAAATAATACCCAACATGCTTGATTCATTTAATACTTTAAAATTTTGATAAGACAAACTAATATTTTTTGAATTAGAAAATTTTCAAAAAATTATTTCACAAAATTAAAAAAAAAAAGGAAAATACAAAGACATTCTTCTTTATGTATAGTATAGAACACAAAAGCAATATACTTACCATTAAACTTAACTTGTTTGTATCAAAGCTGTTAATTTTTGTCACATCACCTATTTTCTTTCAATTAAGCTGTCAATTCGTTATTATCTCAAAGCCATCTTATAAGAATTAAATATGTTATATTTTGTAGCACTATTATTTGTTAGAGAAATTATCAAAATTTATTAACATTGGGATTTTTTAATTTTACAAGTAAAGTTAAAATGATGATATTTAAAAAATTAAAAAAAATTAATTCGAACAAAAATGAAATATATGTGATCATTTTAACCTTTTTTATAGAATTAAAAAAAAGTGTATCATATAATTTCTTTATCTATTATTGCTCTTTCTGGTTTTTGATTCCAAAAAATTTGGGCTTTTGTTTTTTTAAGTGTATCTACAAACATTAAATATTAATTATTTATAATATAAATGTTGAAATTGATTTTAATTTTATATAATATGTTATTTCAAGATAATATATATTTTATTAAAAATATTTTATTTCATACTATTATTTATAATTTCAAAAAGAAATAAATGAAAGTATGAAGATAATATATTTAATTAAATTAAATAACATAAGATTAAATAATGCATTTAAAATATTTACTTATTTTACTTAAAATAAGACACAAATAAATAAATAAATATTTTATATAACACACATTCACGAATTATCAAGTTCTAACTGTCCAAGAAAAACCTTTAAAAGACCTGTTTTGTTGGTCCTCCCGCACGTATACCGCTTGGAATTCAAAGCAATTTTTAGCTGAACATCATTGGGTAGTTTAATTAAGCCAATCGAGTATAAAACATTCGCATGGCGAGCAAGAGCTTCTAGATTTATTTTATTAACAGATGCCTAGTGTTGCTTGGGGATTCTAAAATTTGGGAAGCCCTCTCTAGCTTGTATTAGGATCTGTCTCTGACTTCGTCAATTTAAAAATTTCTGAATAATAAACAAGTACCGTATCACAAATTATCAAAATAAAATAAGAGGAGTAATGTACTCGCTTATATATTTTTGGAGTTTTGAAAGAAGAAAGTGGTATCACTCCCTATTTGTCTTTGCTTTGTTGACTTCTATTTTCCTGCTTCTTCATCTCTCTTCTCCTACGTTTTTTTTTTTTTTAAACATTTTTTTGCTTAAATGAATCGAGAATGTTTAGCATAACCTAAAATCAAATAATAATAGGTGAAGAAATCTAATATGAATATAAAATTATAGTAAACTTATATTTAATATATTTGAGATAATATTATTTTAGTAAATCTTATTATGTGTAGGTAGATAAAAAAGTTTATAACTTGATAAACTTGGATAAAAAATAACATGAAAAGTAAGAAAATATAAATTTTTATATCATGTTAAATATTTAACTTAAAATTGATTGATAATAAATAAAAAAATTTAATTTAAATATAAAATCATAAAAAATTTAATATTTAACAATAAGATAATATTATTTTAACAGAGAGACAGAAAGAATAATGTAACTTGTGAGTGGAAAATAATTTTTTATATTTTAAATACATTCTTTTCTATTGTCTCATTTTGTCTATATATTATTTCATATTTGAATGATCCAAAATTATGTTATCTTTGTTCTTTAACATCTAATATTCTTTTTTTTTTTTTATTTCAAAACTTTTTAATATATATATTTTACTTTTGGACATTTAAAATCACGTTATAAAATTTAAAAAATAAAATTTATTATAAAATACACTGAAGTTTAAAAAATTTTTAAAAATTTTTGAAAATTAAATAAGGACAATGAATTTGAGATTATTGAGGTAGTATTTTTAACTTTTTTTTTCTTCAACATGAGTTATTGATCGTAAAGGTGGTTTTTTATCCAAAGGCAATGTAGTATAATTTTGATGCCATGGATGGATGTAGGTTCAAGATACCAAAAAATTCAATGCCCAAGGAAGCAGCATATCAAGTAATAAATGATGAATTGATGCTTGATGGAAATCCAAGGTTGAACTTGGCATCATTCGTGACCACATGGATGGAGCCTGAGTGTGATAAACTCATGATGGCTTCAATAAACAAGAACTATGTTGACATGGACGAATACCCCGTTACCACTGAACTCCAGGTATCTTTCTTGTTTGGCTATGAAAATTAAAAAAAAAAAAAAAGGGTTACTGTTAAAGCTTAAGGTATAGAAAATGGTACAGTAATTGATTTCAACTCATCCCTTGTCTGCTTATTCAAAAGATAAGTAATTGAGCTGATACGACCGTGTCTTAGAAATGCAGATTCCTGTGACAGGGAGATTGTAGCACTAAAACATAGCCGTTTGTGATAGGCTGCTACTAGATGTTGTCTTTTGAAAGTGAAATTTATGATTGTTGTATTGAAAATTGTAAAAGTCATAACACTACCAACACAAGTGTAGGCTCTAAACCTAGTCAAGAGAAATAGTGAGGAATATGCTCTTTTAGAATGATTGGTTTTGGTTGGGCTTTAGTTGTTTTCATAACGGCTGGAAGAGAAGAAAAGGAAAATAGAATCAAAGAACAATGCTAATTCCATTCGGAGTTATTTTCCCTAAAAAAAACTTTAAACAACAGTGAAACGATTGACAATTTTTGTTCCTTTTGTAGTTTCTTTGAATAAAATAAGAAATATGCGTCAAAGTTCTATCAAAATTCTAAGAGCTGAAACCTAGTCAATTGAATCCTAAATATAAAAGCCATTGTAGACTGATGATGCTTTCGAAATCTTTATATAGAAAGGAAAATGAGGACACGAATATATAACTGACACTTATAATTGATATCTAGGCTAATGTAAATTTGTTTACTAAGTTTTTGAAGTTTTAAACATTTGCTGACCCTGAACTACATATTCTGTTGGTAGAACTGAGCTTTTAGTTCCATTAATTATGGTTCTTCAAATACCAAAAAAAATAAAAAACTATATAGTGGGACATACTTTAAATTTTAGGACTTGCATTCAATCTAAAAACCAAGTGGCAATTTGTGAAGAGCATTATATTTAAATGCTCAAGTTATTCCTAATTTAATTAATGTGGGATTTATAGCCACTTTAAATGGAAGTCGTCTTTTGTTTTTGTCTTTTTCTTTTTGTGGGCAATTGAAATATTGAAGTCTTTTTCATCTTACTGACATAATTTATTTGTCGTAATGGTTTTAAGCCACCAGACGAGTTTAAAAATATGTTAAGTCATCATTAATATTTTTTATTAAGTGTGATTGATTCTTTAAAAATTTAATTTTTTATTAAAATTTTAAAATTTATCAAAAAATAATTTTAATTTTTGAAATCAAACATAAATTCAAAAGTATAATTATGTGTGAAAAATGATTAGTATCCATACAACGTTTGTTTTATAAACGATATCAATTAATCTTGTATTACTCTTTTAATTTTGACGAATGTGGTTTTACTCTTAGTATTTAAAAATAATTTTCTTAGCTTATTTTATTCATCATAATTTTGGTTTTTTTATGATTTTATTTGAAAAAAATAAACTAAAACCTTATTATTGAAAAGTTTCAAAAAATATTTTAATACGTTGATAATATTCAAAGGAAATTTTTACTTAAAAATTTCTTAAAACTCACTACTTGGATATCTTAAAAGTCTTATCTTCAGATACTCGTGTTTATTTTTAAAAAATAAATATATGTAATGCAAATGATAATATATTGATACTCATATTTTATTTTTCCTTTTCTTGAATATTTTTCTTTTTTCTTGTTAATTTTTTTATTTTTATTTGAAGAAAAAAGAAATTTTTATTATATTAAAAATTTTAATATTCAAATATGCTGATAGTATTTAAAAAATTTTTTTTATTTAAAGTTTTTTAGATCTCACTATTTGGATAACCTCATAATCTCATTTTGGGGACTCATATTTTTAATTAATTAAGTAAATAAAAATATTTTATTTTGTTATAATTTTTATCTTTTTTAGTTTATTTTTTTAAATTCTAAGTAAATTTTTTTTTTTGTATTGAATATATTTTTAAATATTTTATTACTTTGATAATATTTTAAAAACATATTCTCATTTAAAGATTTTTTAAAAATTACTATTTGAATTTATTTAAAATCTCATCGAAAATATTATTAAAATTTCATAATAAAATCTTGCACTAACTTAATAACCTACAAATAAATTTATTTTAAAATTGTACGTTTTTTATTTTTCATATATAGTTTTCTTTTGAATCACTAATTCATATTAACAAGCATTAAAGCAATATAAAACATAACTAAATAAAAAAAATACCCAAATTAAAGCTTAACACTTAAGCCCAAAACCAATTAAATGGTGAGGTCCAAATCAACAGCACAAAATACGTCCATGGGGGTTGGGCTTCCCCTGGTCATGGGCCAGATCCGAGTTATGGGTTGGATGGGTTGGATCTGCAATGGGTCGGGTCGCTGGTATCCACAATAAGTTGTAAAGTTAGTTTTTTTTTTCCCTCTGTTAAACCATTTATCTAAAAACAAAAGTCAGAGCTCTCTCAATTTAACCCAGCAGCCCCCTTTGATTTTCCAGAATCTGGTGAGCTTCCACTGTGCGCCGCCGGTCGACTTTCCCACAGTTTCACCTCAAACTCATCTCGACCCCCTCTTCTCAAACCCAACCTCTGTTTTTCACAAATCGCCTCCTATGATCTTTGATCTGAGATCCAAGCCAGCGGCTTCAACCCCATAAAGCACCAATTTTCGTTACTGCAAACGACCCCAAATTTTAGTATGTTGTTCCCTCACCGAGGCCTTCTCCTCGTCCAAAACTCAGGTCTCAAAACCCTTTCGAACACCTTAAATCTGCCTTTGACCAAGACCATCTTGTGATTTTTTTTGTTGTTATTTTTTATTTTTGGTTATTCATAGGTTTTAGGTAGGCGGTGTTTGGGGTTTGGCAGAGTCTTCCTTTGTAAAAAAAAAAAAAAAGGTTCCTAGTGGTTGATGGTCATAGTCGGTGGTTTTGGTTTCAGGTTGTACAAATGAGGTTAAAAATGAGGATTATGGTGGTGGGTTGCAATGGTGATGAATCGTGGGAAATGGACGGTTTGCTGGGAAACGAGAGAGGGGTCTCGGCTAGCTGCTTGCCAATGTTGGCTTTGGCATTGGATGGAGAGGGGTCTGTGATGGGTCATCATGGGGCTGGGTAGAATGAGAAATTTTTGGCAAAGTTTTTCCGTGTTCAAATCAGCCTCCTCCCCCTCTGGAGATTTGTGTCTAAGGTTTTATTATGCTGCAGGATCATTGGAAGGACTGTGAGGAGAGAATGGAGGGTGGATTGGCGGCAGCTGACTGGCAGTCGAGTGGCGCTAGGGTGAAGCTGGTGACAGGATAGAATAGATGGGCTCGTGGGTGCGAGTGTAGAGGTGCAAGGTAGCTCGGCCTAGGTGGTGCCGTGTAAGGCACCAACCTGTAGATTCTTTCTTTTTTTGGGTTAATTTTTAATTGAAAAAAAAAAGATTTTGAATTGAGCTCTTGTCAATTAGCCAGTAGGCCTTCAAGCCCAAATGACCTACTTCCAGCTTTTAGACCCGAATAACCCACATAATAGGCTCGAATGGTTAAATCAAATCACGACTTAAACGACTTAAAATGAATTCAAATCGAACATAAATCACGATTGATTTTAATTGACTGGGAACAAATTAAGTGTTTATCTTTTCATGGTTGATCCCTTTCTAAAAATTTGTACTTTAAGAATAGCCATCTTTTTCATCTTTTCTCCTAATCTCTCACAGCTATCTATATGAGTGCTGTCTGTAGCCACATTGGTTTTATATAGGTGGTTTTTGGGTGGGGATTGGGTAGATATCTTTCATTCAAATTACAATACTCTTCTCTTACATCATCAAGGAAAAAATGTTGCTCCTTTGAGCTAAATTGTGCTAATTTGGGGTTGCCCCGGGGAGAGTTATGGTTACTTATTAAATAGTTTCCATGGTTGAATAAAAATATCTAGTAAGAAAGAAACAGCTTCCTTCAAAACGGTGGGTGATATATATGAATTCCTAGAAGACTTTTTATTCTCGTCCTTCATTGTTTATAAGATCATTTGACATCTAATTGACTTTGTTTTTGACGAGAAAAATTTTGAACTGGGCTTACTATCGTATCATTGAATCAATAGTTGCTTTGGTCCTACAGAATCGATGTGTAAACATGATTGCAAACTTATATCATGCTCCAATTGGGGATGGTGAGAAAGCAGTTGGTGTCGGGACTGTTGGTTCCTCTGAGGCAATAATGCTGGCAGGATTAGCTTTTAAAAGAAAGTGGCAGCAAAAGAGAAAATCACAGGGGAAACCCTACGATAAGCCCAACATAGTCACAGGAGCAAACGTGCAAGTAAGTTTTTGCATAATATTTACAATTGAGGATACTTGAATTAAGTGTTTTGCACTAAATTTGTTGCTTCTCTAATGATAGACTTGAAGTACTTTTTAATAAAAAAAAGCATAAGGATTTGTATAGGGAAAACATGAGTTTATTTAATGGGAAATGAAATGAAAATACTAAATATAAGGAGTCTATAGGTTATCAATAGTACAATTGATTGGGATCCTTGAAGCATAGTTCGAATATAATTTGGTGGTTACTTGCGTTTGAAGCATCATTAGAGTATAATGAGTGTCTGAGCATGCCCTTTTTCATAATTTTGATGTTTCTACAAGAAGTTAAAAATTTTGCCTGAACCACTAATTAATTAGGTCAGTTTGTGAAATGATGTAAAATATTGTTGAAATGTGCTACCCAGGTTTGCTGGGAGAAATTTGCTAGGTACTTCGAGGTAGAGCTGAAGGAGGTGAAACTGAACGAGGGATATTATGTGATGGACCCTGTGAAAGCAGTTGATTTGGTTGACGAGAATACCATATGCGTTGCAGCCATTCTGGGATCTACCTTGACTGGGGAGTTTGAGAATGTCAAGCTCCTTAATGAACTTCTCACCAACAAGAATAAAAAGACTGGTTGGGACACCCCAATACATGTTGATGCTGCCAGTGGGGGGTTCATTGCTCCTTTTGTTTACCCAGATCTTGAGTGGGATTTCCGCCTACCATTAGTAAAAAGCATTAATGTCAGTGGGCACAAGTATGGCCTTGTATACGCTGGTGTAGGTTGGGTTGTGTGGAGAACCAAGGAGGATTTGCCTGATGATCTCGTCTTTCACATCAACTACCTTGGATCTGATCAGCCCACTTTCACCTTGAACTTCTCTAAAGGTAATATATATATATATTCATACATTTATTAACATATGTATTCATTTATCCTTGTGGGTGACATATATATATTCATGCATTTATTAACATATGTATTCATTTATCCTTGTCGGTGAGTGTGAATTAATGCTTCGGCCTAACTCTATGAACAGTGAGTTTGGAATTGATTTTAGTGCAGTAACACATAATTTTGTTTTTCTAATATAGAGATCAGTCCTTTACAACATTGATCCCTGAAATCTTGTTTGTTCAAAGACTGAAACTTGATCAAATTTAATTCATCTCATAGATAGATTCATTGCATGTGAACTCTAAAAGTTCACAGAAAGCAGGACGTACCACGGTATTGAAACATATGGACCCTGGAGGAGGTTTTTTTTTTTTGGGGGGGGGGGGGGAAGGGAATCTTCAGAATAGCTTTTGAAGTGAAACAGACATTTAGTAGAATACACCTAGGTCTTATTTTATCTATTGATGTTGCTCAAGTTCCACAGATTGTATGTCTTGAGTTTGCTGTTGTGGTAAGATTTGCTGCAAAGGCATTGTTTTCATTAAGCAATTTGTTTCTGTTAGGGCTTCATAATTTATTGAGCTTAAAGGCACGATACTCATGAAAGTTTCCACAGTAATTTGTCATTTCATTGTCAACCTTTTTTTATTCTTTATTGGCCCATTTTGTTAGCTTGCAATTGAAGCACAAAAAATTGTTTCCTGATGGTAGTTATAGACAGATTCTACAAGTGTAGTGGGCATTGGAATCCACATTCATAATTTCACCAATTCAACTTTAGTGTAATTATGTCTCTACTTTGGCTATTAGAAACTTTGTGTGCAATAAAAAACATTGCGATAAAGTTTAATTGGATTTATTAATGATTTTTCATTTTTTTTTCTTTTCTAGGCAACATTTGAATATATTGCTATAACTCCATATCAGTTCTCAAAGATATAAAATAGCAAAATTTTGTTGTAACATGCATGCTTTCAGAATAATGTTGAGGTCAGCAAAATGCCTGGATATGCCCTATCCAACTGTGTGTTGGTTAAACAATTTCAGTTAACAGTCTGTTTTAGAATTAATTACTGTTAAGAGTTGGTGTCTTCCATTTACAATTGTTCTTTTAGCTACTTTGAGACAAATATGTAAAGATTTGCTGTATAGGCACTGATGCTTCTTTTCTCCTTCATCCTTGTGGCAGGCTCTAGTCAAATTATAGCTCAATATTATCAGCTTATTCGGCTTGGCTTTGAGGTAATTCAGCTAAAATTTTGGAACAAACTATCATAGGTGTGGAAAGGGTAAAGTAAGTAAAAACGTTTAATCGAACGGTTAGTTTTCATAACCATTTTCCTAGTAGCTTAGTGATTAGTTAAACACTTTTTTATCCTTAGGAAGTTTTAAAGCTTATATATCTGTGGACATATGAAACTCATAAAACGTTGAATGATGAAGATTTTGAGGACCATGTTGATTCTGCCTCTCTTCAATAGACAAAACATGAACACAGTGGTTCGATCGATGTCCTTAATTTTTCTAAACTGATATGTAGTGAATTGTGCTCACTAAATATTAATTGAAATCAAATGTTCCAAAAGAATATGTGCAGATGGTTTACACAATTAACTAATTTTTGTTGAGAAAAGCTTTTTCTTTTTGATCTTTAGTGATGGATGGTTATCTACATCTAAGTTCTAATTATTTTTTCATAAAAGGGATACAAGAATATCATTGAAAACTGCATAGAGAATACAAGAGTTCTCAGGGAAGGGATAGAGAAAACAGGACGATTCGACATTGTGTCCAAAGATGTGGGTGTTCCCCTTGTGGCTTTTGCTCTCAAAAACAGCAGTAAATACAGTGTGTTCCAGATATCTGAGAGTTTGAGGAAGTTCGGGTGGATCGTTCCAGCTTATACAATGCCTGCAGATGCCCAACATGTTGCTGTTCTCCGTGTGGTTGTTAGGGAGGACTTCGGTCGCAGCCTGGCCGAGAGACTTGTCTCACATATTGAGGAGGTTGTGAAGGAACTAGACTCGCTTCGAAGTCGTACGGCCATTGGAGCTTCCCATGGTTATGCAGGTGGGACAGCTGCAAAAAAGACTGAGGGAGAGATTCATGCAGAGGTAACCAGACGTTGGAAGCGGTACGTCGAAAGTAAGAGGACAGGGGTCTGTTAAGACCCTACAAATATGTGTTAAACTATATTATTTGTAGCCATATTGTGAATTAATGGATTGTTGGGGCAATTGTTTTACCTTTTTTTCAAAACTGCAGGATTACTTTCGATGTAGTAATTTCGTCGTGTTATACATTTATAAAGGCGATATATGTTGTGTCTGTGGAATATTATGTTCAAATTAAGCAATATATGGATGTTTTTTATTTGTCTTGGTTGCTTGATTTTTGGGTGGAGGGTCATGCATTTATTTTTTATTAATTTGAAAAAGGAGATTTTGAATTATTTTTTTTACTCATCATTATTAGGGGTGAGTAAATGGTCAATTCGATCGGTTCGGTTTGAAAAAATCAATAATCGACTTAATCGATTTTCATTTAACAAATAATCGAATCGATCAAATATTATTAAATAATCGATCATAATTGAACCGACTAAAATCGGTTCGATTCGGTCGGTTCGGTTAAATAACCAAATTTTTTTGTTATTTTTTTTCCTATTATGAATAATTATTTAACCATAAACTCAATTCAATAAAATTCAAATTCTAGTATCATTCAAATTAAATTACTAAAAAATTTAATAATTTCAACAATATTTTAACAAAAAAAAAATAAAAATATTTACTCAATTTTTTTATTTTTAATTATTAAAAAGTCGATTAATTCGATCAGTACGATTATCAATTTTAAAAATCGAAAACCGACCGAATTAACCAATTTAATCGATTTAAAAAACTGATTATAATTAAAACCAAATAAACCGAACCGATTTAATCGAATTCACTCGATTTTGATCGGTCTAATCGGTTCAAACCGACTTTTGCTCACCTCTAATCATTATGCTCAATGTTTGGACCTTACCGTTTGTAATGTTGAACTTTTTTATACTTGTAAATTATACACGGGTAATAATTTGCATTGTAGTCATTAATTTTCTTTAAATTAAAATTTTAATCTAGTAAAGGATGAACTTTTGAGAATCAGAATTAAAATTTTTTTTAAAGATTTTTAGAAATAATAAACTACAGATAAATAGACTTAAACAAATAAAAAAATTAAAAAAAGATAACAATTAGATCTTATTCATGAAATTTAGGAATTTGATTTTGTTTCCTAACTTCTAAATTTTTAATACTTTCCCTTAGATTGGTGTATAAATATTTTATTAACAGGAAACTTGAAATTAGACCTTAGAAGTCCTTTGGTTTGGATGTTTGCCATCTGTTGTGTTACAAGGAACAAATGACAATCATATTGCACTAATCTCAAGTTTCTCCTTTATGAAAATGCCTATCAATCTTGACATGCTTTATTTTATCACGTTTTATTGGAATGTGTGCAATACTGATAGATGCTTTATTGTCATAGTATAGTTTCATATGAAACGTACTAGGCCTTCTTAGTTCTACGTCACATTTCAACCACAACATCTTGCAAATTCCATGTGCGATAGCTTTGAGCTCTGCTTGAATGTTGTTCGTGCTACCACACTTTATTTCTTGCTTTTCCAAGTAATCAGGTTACCCATACAAATGTACAATATTCGAAGGCAGATCTTCTATTAGTGATTGATCTGACCCAATCGATAATAGTGTAAACTTCATTTCCCTATTGTTAATTTTTCTTGAACAATAATCTTTTTCCCAAAATGCTCTTTATGTACCTTAGAATCTTGCAAATAGTTTAAAGATTTATATGCTCTTCGTATAGGCAGTGCATGAATTGACTCACCAAATAGACTACAAAGGCGATGTTTGGTCGAGTATGTGACAAGTATATCAGTTTGCCTGCTAAAATTTGATATCGCTTTGTATCAAATGCGTTCCTTTGTGACTTTCTCCTATCTTCAAGTTGTATTCTACAAAAGTATCAACCGGTTTATAGCCATTCATACATGTTTCTTTTAGGGGATCAAGAATATGCTTTCGTTGTAAGACAACAATGCCCTTTTTGGAATGTGCAATTCCATTCCAAGAAAGTAACTTTATGACCCCAAGTCCTTAATATCAAATTCAGAAGCTAGAACTTGATTTAACCTTTCTACTTAGAGTAAGTCATCTTCCATTTGAGTGAAAATTTCATGAATAAAATGTGATCAATTTGCTCCTGAGTGTAACCTTGTTTCTTTATGGATCGAATGAATTTTATCAAACAATGCCCTAGTTAATTGTTTGAGTCCATATAACAACTTCTTTAGCCTGCACACATTTTATCCAAAATTTTTCGTAAAGCTTGGATAAGAGTCCATATGAACTTTTTATTTCAAATTTTATTGAGAAATCTATTTTTTACATCGAATTGTTGTAATGACCAGTTCAAATTTACGGCAATTGATAATAGAACTCTCGCTGTGTTTAGCATAGTCATTAGAGTGAATTTTTATGAATAATCAGTACCATACGTATGAGTAAATCCTTTGCTACTATTCGAGCTTTATATCTTTTTAGGGAGTTGTTAGAATTGTATTTCATCGTAAATACCCATTTGCAGCCAACCGTAGATTTTTCTTTAGGCAAACTCACTACTTCCTATGTCTTATTCTTTCTCAATAATTCTTATCTTTTCAAGAATGGCTTCTTTCCATTTAGGAACATTAAAAGCGTCCAGTACATTTTTAGGATTGTCTATACTAAATAATTATGACGTAAATGTAACAAAAGAGGGAGACAATTTTTCAGAAGACACAAAGTTAGACAAATGATATTTAGTACATTCTTTAGTACCTTTCCTATGAGCAATTTGAACATCTAAATCATTAATAGATTTAATTTGGGAATCAGGTTTACATTAGCTTAACTTAGATAAGAATTTGCTTGGAAGATTGATAGAAATTTGATATGTTCCTGAATTAGGCTCCTAGGACTACTATAAAATGGACCTTTTTTTATTAGGATTCTTTCTTGAATAGACAATGAATTCATTCGATTTTTTTACTTGATTTCTCACACTTTTCAAGCTCTAGGTGATTATCTAAGATAAGATAAGAAAATATAGAAAAAGAAATAATGAAAATCGAAAATTTCAAGGAAGATAAAAGTGTTTTGGAATTTGCAAATGGGATGAAATTTTGAAATCCCTGTGCCTTTTTGAAATTTAATTTCAGATTAAACATGAAAGGTTTTCAATTTGGAATTTTGGAGCTTAATCTTCATTGAAGACTTTCCCTATAAATTGTTACTTACAGATTGAAAGAAAGGGGGAAAATTAGATAAAAAAACAATGGAAAAAGCAGAAATAATTGGCAATAAAGAAAATTCTTGTATTGTGATATAAGTTTGTTAATTGAAGAGCTTATTGAAACTTGGGCTTTAATTCGAGAGCATATAAAAAAGATTGGAGTTGAAGGAAAAAAGGAGGTCAAAATTTGACCTTTTTTTTGGAATTTTTTTGGGAAAATTTATGGAAAAAGATGAAATTTTCAATAAATATTTGAAGTTTTTAGCGCCATTTTCCAGTTTCTTGTGCACTTATCAGTTTTCGGTACATTAAGCTAGAGAGGGGGAGAGAGGAATAAGTGTAAAGAGAAAATGAAAGTGCAAGAATGAAAAGAGATTTTGAAAAAGGCATTTTAAATAAGGCTAGAATGACATTGTTACTAGGGTAAAAAAGATTAGGTTCCTGTGACCCGTTTTGAAGGATCTGTGCGTCAGCTAATTTTTAAACCCAACCTAATTGTGGCCTACTCTAGACCTCAAGTTGATTATGAACCAAGCCATTCGAGCCAAAAGTCGAGCCACCCAACCTCCAAGCCAACCCTAAGTCTGCAGTCAAGTCGAGTTAATTACCTATGTTGAGTTGATATATCTTTTTTTTATTATTTATTAAATTAACATTTTATATGATTTTTTATTTATTTTTTTTAATAAGTTTTTTTAAAATTTTAAAAATTTAAGGAAAAACTTAAAATATTAAAATTTCCTTAAAATAAAAATGATTTCAAAAAAAATGAAGAAAAAGTTGAAATATCAAATTTTTCTTAAACAAAAAAAATAATTTTGAGAAATGAGGTAAAAGTTAAAATATTAATTTTTTCTTAAAATAAAATTAATTTAAAAAAATTGAAGAAAAACTTGAAATATCAAAATTTCCTTAAACAAAAAAAAATCAAAAAATTGGAGGAAAAATTGAAATATGAAAATTTTTTTAAACGAAAATAATTTCAAAAATTGGAGGAAAATGTTGAAATATTAAAATTTCCTTAAACAAAAATAATTTCAAAGATTTGAGTAAAACTTGAAATATCAAATTTCCTTTTTAAATGATTTCAAAATTTTGGGAAAAAATTGAAATATTAGTTTTTCTTTAAAATTAAATTTCTTCTAAAATTTCATAAAAAATGGATAAATGTTAAATAATCTAACGACGAAGCCTTTGCAAGAGAAACAGGTTTTTTTGAATACTCCTAAGGTGAGGGGATTCTCTTAATTTTTTTGTCAAAATATTAGAATGAGTTATGAACAATTCCTAATATGTGTAAATTTTTATGGCTTAATAGATAACGTAAAAACAGCTAATATCATCTTTTGATAGGCGTTATGAATGTGCTATAACCTTTTTCATACATAATGGTACTTTTAGACTTAGCTTGTTTTTGTAGACTAGAATATAACTTTTAAGAAACTCAAGTCAAGTTTAAAACTTCTCTGTAAAATAGGGTAGATTTAGTTAGGTGTACAATCGCACCTAAACAAAAAATATTAGTGGTGACTCCTAAGTTCATATCTAGTGATCAAGTTCATGGAATTATACGTTATAAGAGTTTGGCAACTCCATTAGGAATCAACTGAGAGTTAGGTTAGCAAATAAATTGGTGTTATCCAAAGCCTAACAAATTTGGTTCTTTTTAGAAGATTTTTTTTCTTTATTTAGTTTTTTAAGAAAAGTATTTATTATGTCATTCATGTGCATGTGCATGACATAAGCTCTATACCTGAGATCCGTTCCTTTAAGAAAGAGTATAGTACCTAGATTTTCATGAGATTTTAATGCCTCCGCAGTGAATAGCGAAATACTCCCATTCAAATTGAATCCTTTCACTTGTAGCCTGTAATGGGTGAGTATTAGGGTGTTTCACTAGTTTATGATAGACAAAGATGTGAGAAACAATTTGAGAAATTTTAGATTATCAACCTTAAACCACATGTAGTGAACCATAAGAAACCTGACCTGTAGTTAGAGCCTTATCTTCCTC